GGGAAGGGAGAGGGAAGGCAGGGTGATATGGCAGGACATTGGAAAGCAGCACTGTTATTAGCATGTAGTCACGGATGGGATAAACTCAGAAAGTGATTTCTAAACCAGGCAGGGATGAGAAATAGCACCCAGAAATGGTAAGACAGAAAAGGGTCAGTGCTCCATGGAAATAAGCAGAGCTATGTTGGAGGAGAGATTTCAAAACACAACCCCAACACAGAAAATCTTCCCCAGGTGGGAGGGAAGTGAGGATGTTATAGGAATACTCATTAAAAGAGAAAACATGAGCAGAAAATCTTCCCCAGGTCATTGGGGATGCTATAGGAATACTCATTAAAAGAGAAAACATGATTAAAAATAAAAAATGCAGGTAGGAGCTTACAGTCTAATTAAAAGAAAAAAGAGATGGAACTAAGATTAGGGCTCACTGTTTAAAGTAAAATTGTCCCCTCGACCCTGCTTTCTTCTCAGCCATCATTTTCTCCAGACAGCAAACATTGTCATTTATATAAAATCAGTGCTTTGCACTTCCACAGACATTGGTAGCCGGGCTTGCAGCATGCTGGAAGTGCTCAACCCAAGAATTTGCCACCTCATCTCAAGGAGGATTTCGAGCCCCTTGACCCCTCTTATGGGCCTTTCAGGTGGTTTTGGGCTAAAGCAAAAGCTGTAGGCAGTTGGAAGAAGGTGTGTAATTAAGCAACCTCATCCAGAGCATCTCCCCTCCCTCCAGCTCTCCGTGGGGCTTGGCTTCTTCTCCCTGACCCAGCTCAAAGTGGACAGGAGCAAGGCTCAGCACCAACCCTCCGCTCGATACACCACATGTACAGAGAAGAAAAGCCAACTACCTGCTCCATCCACATGGCTTCAATGTCCATCTTCACATCTTTGCAAACGCTTAGCTCTCACGCCAGGCTAGTCTGAGGTTAGCAGCCACCTAAAGGGAGCCCGGCTGTGACAGCGCAGTTGTCCCCATGCCAGGGATGGAAGTGGTGGTGGCTCTAAGCAACACAAACCTGATTACGGTTGGAAGGGCGTTTCTTTCACTCAACTGTGCTTCTTATCGAGAAAACAAGATCAAGGAGGTGGTATTCGTCTTTAGCATTTATTTATCATAGGAAAAAAAACCCCTTTGAGCAAGCAAAGATCACAAGCACGTCACAATCAATTGGCTATACATTAATTTGTGTGTGTGTGTGTGTCTGTGTGTGTATTTGTGTGTGTGTGTGTGTGTCATTCTCATCAGAACAGCAAGAATGAAAAAAGCACCACGAGGAGGTGTGCTTAACACGTTACAAGAGACAATTCGTGATATGCAACCAAACCCAGGCCACAAAATATTAATTAGACACTTCCTATCTGCCTCCAAGAGGCAAGAGTTTGTGGAATTCATGGGAGCCACGTTTTGACACAGGACGCGTCGCAAATGAAGAAGCAGGTGATCGGTGTGCAAAGCAGTCAGAAAACAGGAGCTCAGTCAGCAGTTAGCACCATTTTGCAGAAAGGAGTAAACAGTACAATACAGTGAAGATGAGAAAGCAAGCAATAGACAGCATAGGAACTTTCACAGGGTAAAAAGCAAAACATTTTGTTTGTTTGGTGGTTTTTTTGTTTTTTTTTTTCCTTTTTACAAAGAAAGCAAAACGTATTACAAAATCAGCAGTGAGACAGGATCAGCAATGTGGTAGCTGGAAACACAGAACAGCAAGAGCACTCTTTCCCAGTGGGATCGACAAGCTCAGAGTCCAAAGTGAACTTGAAACGGCAGAGATTTGGTCTCCTTTCTGATAAACCTGAGTGGGTCAGATGGGTATAAAGTCTGTGGAAGGTAGAGCAATGCAGGATTTCACCCTGAGTTCCTGGCAGTTCCTGGCATTCAGTGCAGTGCTAAGCTGTATGCTTGGATGTATGCTGAGGACCTGGTGTGCATGGAGCAAAGGCCAGAATTCATATCCCTGTTTTGTTGCTGTCTGAGAGGGAAGTGCCCAGGCCCTACCAGTCTCCCAGTCTCTTTCTGCAAAGATTGAAACTTTCCAAGGATCGTTCGTGCCACGCAAAGAGAGGTGTCCAAAATAGGTAGCTCAATGGCCCTTGGAAAGCTCCTTCACTAGAGAGGGAATTTAGATCACTGGCTATCACTTCATACCTAGCTTTGTAGTTAGATGCCACCAAAAACGTCATGTATTAAGGAAACATAAGGCCGAATTCTGACCACTCACTGTGTATGTTTCATTCAAACGCCATGATGGATGCTCTTCATTGAGAAGAAGCAACCCTGAAGCCCTAGATGATGAGCGGTTGATGCTTCATCATGGAGATGCTTGGATTGGGTGGTCTGAGCATCTCAGTGATGTTCCTTGGGCAAAATTTGGTTACCCTTGAAGTCAAGGAATAAATTCCCACTGAATTCAAGGGGAAATGGTGGCAAGTGTGCGGTGTCTTTGAATGTGAAGCTTTGGGCCAAAAAATAATTGGAGGAGTCAATTGGCATGATACAGTGAGATTGGTGTGTTGGGGGTTACTGGTACCTGTCTACATGCCTTCCTGACATGTTCTGCCTGCTGTGACACGTCATCTTCACTCTGTTGCTATATCCTGGGATAGGAAAGGACGTTACTGAGGAGTGTGAAGATGGATGAAGCATCTAAATGCCAAGGAATCACACCAAGTCTTGGAAGCTCAGGCTTCTCTGGGCAGTTGTCCCTTGCGCGACGGGGTGGGAAGAGCTGTGAGCGGCACTCCTCTCCACCAGCTCAACGCAAGCCTTTCGCCGAGCTGCTCTGGAGACAGAGCTGAGCTTTGCAGGGGGGCTTCTGAGCACTCAGAAAAGCAATGGTCAATATGGACAGGTCAGCGTCTCCATGGAGCATGCACATCAAAAATGCACTACATTCGCAAAGATTTCCACAGTTTTACTTCCTGGAGGATTTCCCTGGTTTCCTCCTAAACGACGGAGGTTTAAATATATATATCTCTATATATGAATATATATTTTCCACATACACAACCTGACTAGCTCATAGCACACAGTTCTAACACAGCTAAGCTTGGAAATACACCACTGAATTCAGAACACTACACTTACTTATACTCAAAGCTTTAGGCTGTTAGCGCAAGCCAAACAGGACACATCACACAATACACTGAACTTGGCATTTATTCATTACTAAGGCCAGCAAATGTCACTACCTGTATACCACAGAGCTTTCCTCCTCTTTGGAAACGTTCTCCCAGCCTTGTAACCCTCCACTCATTTATGTTTCCAAAAGGACCCAATTCTAATGGGGTGAGACCCCAAAAATGGGACTCCTCGCCCTCCCGGCCCATCCCTTTTTCTATGAGATAGCTTCACATCTCTAAAATATCCTAGCAGCAAGACTTCCCTCGTTCAAACACCTCTACAGCAACACAGTTCTGATAGTCTCCTCTTACCCCACCTCCCTACACCTACCACTACCTCCCATCTCGCTCTTCGTTCTTCCCAATTGTCTGTTCTCTGAAAGGTTCAAGCTGGACTGTGTGGTAGGATAGAAATACTGAGCTGCCAAAAAGCATAAAGAGGAACCCTGCATCTTGACTTGCAGCTACTCCATTACAGGAGAGTTTAACAGCTCAGTTTGGTGGGATCAAGCTTAATCCTTATGTATTTTGGAACACAATCCAGGAGTTAGGCATGTAAATTTGGATTGGGACCACACCTCTCCCAGCTGCCTTTGACTCCATGACCCAAATTTTGGGGTGTGCAATGCCAGTCTGTTGGACCAGTTCATACTCCTTGACAAATGGTCCTGCTGTGTTTACAGCTTCCACACTGGTCTTGCTGGGCATGGGGATTTCCTAGAGTAGGAGCACAGTAAATAGAATTGAGACCCTGAGATCTTGCCTGGAGGCAGTCCGGGGATCCCAGCAAGTGGTTTATGGCCCTCTTAGGATGCTTACGAGCCAACATGAACTCCAACAGCTGGTAAAGTCAAAACAACGGGGGCTGACAGCTCTAGCCAACCTTGGTGACTCTTTTCTCTCTAACCCTTGGAAGGTCATGTCTGCAAACCAAACCTCTTTCTGAAATCTAGCTCTGTCTACTGGCACCCCAGAAGCGATGAAAGCAGACCAAGATTCAAAACAAACCAGGAATAACTAAAAAGATCCATAACCTAGGGGAAACAATAGGGAAGAACAGCCTGCCAATAACCTAGTCTGACCTGCTACACACTTGGGAAGTCTTCACTGCTCTCTGCGCCTTCCCTTACTCCTTTTTTTTTTATAAATCAAGTCTTTTTAATGGTGTTAATGGGTGAAGCTGCCTTGATGCAGCTAGAACTATACCCCCAGCTACCCTGGGGGAAGATTTGGCCCTTTATTCGCATGGGATCTCCTTCCCTGTTGTTTCTTGGAGCAAAAGTCCCACCGGTGTCACCAGGGGAAATCGCTCTTGGCCACATCACTGATTCTAGCAGAGTTAGGGCAGATCCATGGCATCACAAATGAACCTCTGATCCTCTCTGACTGCAAAACCTTTCACCTGCTGACACCAGTGGGAGATGGCCAAACAACGGCCAACCCCAAAAGGGCCTCATGGGATGACAGCACAGCCCCTCCATGGCTCAACAGGCACTTCCACGCTGTCAAAGCGTTGAAGGACCAAGCCTGAGGAAAGGGACAGGCTGTTGGACACAACGTCGGTTAATCCATCACCTTCATCTCCTACGACTCGGCTTGTGCATTCCCACGTCCCTCACTCTGTGCAGAGCCGTGTTGTGCAGGCAAAGCAGAACAACCTGACCTCAGAAACAAGGATTCCCTAATCCTCCTTGGAAATAAAACAGAAAAGCTTCTAATACAATCAGAACAAAAAGCAGATTAGAAGCCTCTAATTAATTTTGTGGCCTTTATTTACTCAAAGGAAAAAAAAAAGAAAAAAAAAAAGGAAGGAAAGAAAGAAGGAAAGAAAAGGAAAAAAAAAGAAAACAAGAAAGAAAGGAAAGTGCAGTGACATTTACTCTTTTGCCTCAGCCAGTTTATTGTTCATCTCTTTACTTTTCTCCTTGTCCTCTGGCTTTGCTGTGTTGGAGGTCTCGGCGCTCTTTTTCTTGGCAGCCCGGCCAGATGCAATCTGCTTGTCTTTGGCCTTTTTCAGGGGTTTATGGCTTGTTGTGGTCTTTTTTGGTTTGGAAGGCTTTACGCTAGGCTTTTCCACCTGCATAGAGAGCGACACGCAAAACGACAACACAGAGATGGAGAGAGAGAAAGAGAGACACAAGGACAGGTGGAAAACAGGATTTAGATCAGAAATAGCACAAATGTTACTTATCTACTCAGCTATGCCCTGTCACCAAGGGAGGGGAGCAGCTGGGCACGTGCTGAGTTGCAAATGGCCAACTCCTTTCATGGTGTTGATGCCCTGAAGCCACAGTGCCCCTGAAGTCACCAGAGCCCGTTGTATCCAGATCAGGACACAGCAAGGTAAAGAGCAGAGTGAATATTATGAGTAATTTTATCAATTCTTCCACCTTTCTCTGACTTCAGGAGGGGCTTCGCAAGCCCCCCAGGAGATTATCTCTCTCTCCACTTGAAGCAGGGAAATGATGCTCAGGACAAAAAGGCTGGTTTAAACCCCCATTTTTCTCCCAGGGCATAACTCCTCAGTTTGCTCTTCCCTAACAGATTGCTACAACAGAGTAAAATTACTTGGGGATAGCTGGGGCACAGGAACACCAACTGGCACCTGAACAAAGTCCACAACAGTGCCTTGCAATTACCTATTTCTAAAGCCCCCAAAATAGGAAGGATGGCTTCAAAATCAAGGAGGAACAGAAGTCTTCATCTCCTCCATGTTGGCCCTGCCACCCCTCTGAGACCTGACAAATCTAAACACTTATAAACTCTGGGACTAATGGCACTAGGTTTAAATTGCATACACTGACTCCATTTATATGCAGATCCTCGGCTGCTCCTAGAAAACAAGTCTGGAAGACATTTCAGCCCAGGCCCTTGTCGACACGTCCTCCATCTGATCAAAGCCAAAGTGCTTGCTGTCAAAATCTGTGGCACACTCTGAATTAATTGCAGATGAGGATCTGGTTCTTACCATGTTGTTCCTCCCCAGCTTTCCTGGATGGGGCACCTATGACTTTGGAGGGAGAAAGAGAAAGCTGTCTAGATATTCACCTGGGAAATGACAATGCCAAAACCTCTTCATCTGGGAGCTACCCTCCCTTCTCACTACAGTTTGACGTAGGGCACTGTAGTCTCCAAAGTGCCTCAACCTGTACTAGAGCCCAAAGAATCACAGAATGGTTTGGGTTGGAAAAGATGAGGATCTGGTTCTTACCATGTTGTTCCTGGGATAAAATATAATGTGGGGCACCTATGACTTTGGAGGGAGAAAGAGAAAGCTGTCTAGATATTCACCTGGGAAATGACAATGCCAAAACCTCTTCATCTGGGAGCTACCCTCCCTTCTCACTACAGTTTGACGTAGGGCACTGTAGTCTCCAAAGTGCCTCAACCTGTACTAGAGCCCAAAGAATCACAGAATGGTTTGGGTTGGAAAGGACCTTAAAGATCATCTAATTCCAACCTCCTGCCCTGGACAGGGACACCTCTCACCAGACCAGGTGGATCAAAGCCCCATCCAACCTGGCCTTGAACCCCTCCTGGGATGAGGCAGCCACAGCTTCTCTGGGCAACCTGGGCCAGGCTCTCACCACCCTCACACCAAAGAACTTCTTCCTCATATCAAATCTAAATCTCCCCTCTTTCAGTTTGAAGACATTATCCCTTGTCATATGACTACATGCCCTTGTAAAAAGTCCCTCCCCAGCTTTCCTGGAGCCCCTTGAGGGACTGGAAGGGGCTCCAAGGTCTCCCCGGAGCCTTCTCTTCTCCAGGCTGAACCCCTGCAACTCTCTCAGCCTGTCCTCCCAGCAGAGGGGCTCCAGCCCTCCCAGCATCTCTGTGGCCTCTGGATCTGCTTCAACAGGTCCATGTCCTTCTTATTTTTGGTGACCTAGAAGTGGACACAGTAGTCCAGACGGGGTCTACACCAGAGCAGAGTAAAAGGGCAGAATCACCTCCCTCAACCTGCTGACCATGTTTCTTTTGATGCAGCCCAGCATACCGTTGATTGGGTTTCTGGGCTGCGAGCACACATTGACAACTCATATTCAGTTTTCATCCACCACCATCTCCAAGGTGGACGCCCTGATGCACCCGCTGGTTGGAAATGAAGATGCCACATAAGGGGAATGACAGAAGGCAGTGTCCAGCTCAGCCTTACTGTGTTGGACATGTCCCACCAGGAGCAGTGACGGCCCTGGGTCCCTTCCATTGGCTTTCTCACCTTTGGTGGTTCTTTGTAGGGCTCGCTGTAGAGAGTGCGTATCCTTCTGCGCTCCAGGTATTTGTTATCGGCTGGAGTAGGCTTACTGGTTTCTCCCTTGAATTGAGCGCTGTAACTGGTTTCGTGGATCATTTTCTCCTCTGGCGGCTTGTACTGGGACTTTGCTTTTATAGCTTTCACGGGCTTGACATCTATCCAGGGTCTGAACTCATTTCTGAACATCAAAAAAAGAAAGGAGTTAAGGAATTAAACCAACAGGCATAGTGGTAATGTGGGAATGAAATCCCTCATTGCTCAGCAAGCTCTACTTGGAAGGGCTTTTGCCTCCATCCAATCAACTTTACAAAGAAACTGACTCCCAACAGCTCATTTTTGACCTCATCTAAAACCCATTGACACATTAGGATACATTCAAATTAAATCTGCTGTATTAAAATTGGGGAGCCCTGGGCACCAGACAACTTGCCACTTGTGTGACAATGGTTGGGTCCCCTCTGAAAAACTGTCCTTGGATGTGACTGTGATCCCTTTTTTCCAAAACATAGATGCTTTTTTGTCTCTACAGCTTTGTCTCTGTGCTGAAGCTGCCTGTGTGCAATTCCTGGCTCTCACAATTAGGGTGGAAAAGAATACTTAGAAAGGAACATCAAAATTCATGTTCTGCAACTCAACACAGGACACGCGCTTCTCAGCAAACTTCCCTGCAGGCAAGCTAGCTGGGTGACTCAGAAATGTGAAGAGACAAGATTTCCTACAACCATTCCTTACCCATTGCCTGTGAGTACAGCTTTTGTTAATTCCCATAAAGGAACACTTTAAGATAAAGCTGTCTTAGATGCAAACTCAAGCAGAGCAGGAAATACATGGTTTATCAGGTATTGTGAGCTATGGCTTCTCTTTGTTAGCTGATGGTGAATTCCCAAGTTACTGGAAAAAAATAACACCATTTTTCATTTCTTTTGGACAGAGCTGTGACTTTTTAGAGGAAAAAATCCAAACACATTTCAAAGGCTTTTAGCATGTGCTGGACACATTCTTGTTCCCATCCACAGCCTCCTTCTCAGGCACATTTTAGTCCTTCCCAATGGAGCACCATCATCTTCCTAATTTTGAAGCAAACTGTTTCATTTTTTCTCTAAAAATTGCCGTTCATCTGAGAAAACCCCAAGTGAGTTGCTACCTTAGATGGATCATGCTCAGACATAGTCCCAGTCTTCAGGTCCTTAAGACTCCAGTACAAACCAGGAGCTATCTTAGCAGTGGTGATACAGGCCCTCCACAAAGGGGTGAATTTTCCTTAGAGATCAAACCCCTTGTTTTAATTTCAGGACCTCTGTGGCACTGGGACCACTAAGTTGCAGATCCTTTCCCTCCTGCTCTGTTCTGCTCAAGTATTTTTGGGCTGTGTTATTAGTTTTCAGCCTGGTTTATTAGAGAAATGAACCCTGTGTGAGGGCACTGCCAGTCAATCCCTTCCCATAATAGCTTTGAGCATCTTAATCTGCTTCAACCAAATTTGACAAATGGTCACGGAGATATTCAGCTTTTACTTTTATGAAGATAAGCAGCTGGACTGAGTCCAGAGGCTCAGAAAAGCTTCCGAATGGACATGCACACTTTATCAGTCATCAGAGGGCCCGCTTAGGCAAGAAGGCTAGGCTTCATCTGTTGTCCTCAAGGCACAGTAATAAATGGTCCCTTTACCTCCAGGATCAGTGTAGCTCCCTGTCCAGCCAGTACCACGTTTCCCATTCACACAATCCCACTGCAAAGATGGAAAAAACCCTTTCTCTTCCAAGATAATTGTTGTTTACAACAGTCTCCTGGGTGTGTTTCTCCTCCTAAAACACCTGTGTTAAGGTCTCAACCACTCCTGCAGGGTGACTGTGTCCTTGTGGAAGTCAATGTGGACTGACTGACCAACACAGTCAGTGGACCTTGGAGAACCCTTCCCTATGCCAAAGATGAGTGACAGATTTAGGACAAACAGAATGCTTCTTTGGGCTCTGCTAAAGGAACATCTCCACTGATGGGAATACAAACTTCTAGCACACATGAAGACACTCACACATACACCTCTCAATGTAGGTATCTTAATCTATGAGCCAAATCCCGTCTCCAACTCTCCATCCTGTCTTAGTGTTGATTCTACCTATATCTATTTTTTATTTTCCCTGTATTTCTTCATTTATCACCCCCTCTTTTACTATTCAGTCCTTCTTGGGCTTGGACAATATTACCAAAGACCCAGGAATACTGTCTGAAGGACCCTATTCCTCATTAAACTGTTGCACTAAATGAACAACACATGCTCATCTGTGTTCCCTTCTTTCTGTCACCCATTTATCCACAGATATCTCTCTGAAGTCCTTTGTTAAAACATGCCTTCTGCAAGAAGAGTTGAGGGAAAGGAGGGAGAAACATCTTGAAAGCACTGGATTGAAGGTGTGAAAACATTACTGATAAACTCAAAGTTCATCCTAAGCTCCTCAGAAGGTAAAAGGCTCCTTCCTAGGATCCACTTTTGTTCTGTAAGTAGACTCTAATGTTTTTAACTGCTTTCTAAAGGAAATAAAGTCATGCACTAATTCTCTCTGTCCACATCTATATATCACTCAGATCCCTCTATAACAACTCCTGAACCCGTTAGCTATTTGTTGTTGTATTTTTGGCAGAGGTAGAAATCTCAGAGGTGAAAACTACAACATGCTTCCCCAAAATCAGTGAGTGCGCACAGCGGGAACACCCAAATGGTGTTCTTCAACTGAGGGCAAACCAGGTCCATCAGCAAAGCTCAGCACAGCTGGCATCTACGGAAGCAGAGACAAAGGATGGAGGCTGTAGTACCACGCACGCAGGGGTTGGACAGTAAAGATGGAACGCAAACCAGGATTTATTCCTTCTGCTGTTCATAAAATACTGGTTTATATGGAGGTGAGCTTTGAAGCAGCTTATTTGTTACCATAGTGCCCGGCAACCTCGTTATGCACCGCATTATGCAAACAAGCAGAAAGAGACGGGCTGCTCCTTGAAAAGCCTGTGGGCTCTGCAGACAAGGCAGACACAGGAGGTGGGGAAAAAGGAGAGAAGAACCTCATGCTACTGGTGGGCTGGCAAGGAATAGAAGGCTATTGATGTTGAAATACTTTACAGTGTTGACCAGGAAGCTGTAAATAGCAGATATGTCACACAAATTCAGAGAACGTCTGGAAATAACAGGTTGCCCAGAGCAGTGGGAGATGCCCCATCCCTGGAAACATTCCAGGCCAGGCTGGACGGGGCTCTGAGCAACCTGATCTAGTTGAAGATGCCCCTGCTCATGGCAGGAGGGTCGGACTAGATGGCCCTTAAAGGCCCTTTCCAACCCAAACCAATTCTTTGATTCTATGATTCTATCACTCTATGATTCTATGACTCTGAATCCTTTCCACGTAAATGTGCATGATTTCACATCACCAGCTATTACACTAGAGCTGGTCCCTTCCAGCACGTGAGAGAGCATGGACCACATCTGTATGGAGTCCTACCACACCTGGGATGGACCAGCTACTCCCTGCTGTGACCACACTCGAGCACACAGTGTGCCAAATCCTGCATATCTGCTACCCACAGAATCACAGAATCACAGAATGATGTGGGGTTGGAAGGGACCTGCTCCACCCAGAGCAGGTTACACAGGAACTTGTCCAGGTGGGGTTTGAATGTCTCCAGAGAAAGACTCCACCACCTCCCTGGGCAGCCTCTGCCAGGGCTCTGCCACCCTCACCCCAAAGAAGTTCCTCCTTATGTTTAGGTGGAACTTCTTATAGCCAAGCTTTTGCCCATTTCCTCTTGTCCTGTCCCTGTGCACCACTGGACAAAGCCTGGCCCCATCCTGCTGACACCCACCCTTTAAGGATTTATAAGCATTGATCAGATCCCCCCTCAGTCTTCTCTTCTCCAGACCAAAAAGACCCAAGTCCCTCAGCCTTTCCTCATCAGAAAGATGCTCCAGGCCCCTCATCATCTTTGTAGCCTCTGCTGTCCCCTCTCCAGGGGTTCCCTGTCCTTCTGGAACTGGGGAGTCCAGAACTGGACAGGGCTTGGAGAGGCTTGGAGAGGAGGAGAGAAACCCAGAGCATTTACTACAGGTACGTTGGGTGCAGGAAGCTGATCTCAGGACCTATTTTTGATATTCAGGCAACACATAAACTGTACAAAAGTGTTACCAGAACAGACACAGGCGATTCTGTGCTGGTTGCATCAGTGCCCAGACACTCAGCTTACCACAGTTAATTAGCCCAAAAGTACAAATTCCTAAACCTCTCTGTCTCCACCACAGGTGAGTGATGGGAAACAGCCCCTTGGGAGCTGCCCTTGGAATATGCAAGCTCCAGAACCCAGCCCAACAATTGTTTGGGAAAGTTCTTGGAAAAAAACCATAGGCAGGAATGTGCTAACAACTTCACAGCCTGGATCACCATATTTGAGTGCCAGGCACGTCGATTTTATTAATTCAAAGTACAAACAAGGAGGCAGGTACCCTGGGTGGGGTCTCTATCCATTGTAGGGATGGAGGGACCCCTCAGGAAGGTGACCTAAATCTCCTTCGAAGGTCTGGTGATTCTCCATCAAATATCTGACTGATACAGTCCTATGTCACCAGCAGCTCATTTTTCCAAACAGTGCACGGCATGGCTACAACCTCTTAGGGCAGTCGCACTAGGGTATCTGGAATTGGCCTGATGCTCCAGGATATTTATGTCACTCAGAGATGCCTTTATGAATTTATATACTCCTTATATGCAGCAAAGGGTGGCAGAGCCCTGGCAGAGGCTGCCCAGGGAAGTGGTGGAGTCTCCTTCTCTGGAGACGTTCAAACCCCACCTGGACACGTTCCTGTGCAACCTGCTCTGGGTGGCCCTGCTCTGGCAGGGGGTTGGACTGGATGATCTCCAGAGGTCCCTTCCAACCCCATGTGATTCTGTGATTCTGTGAGAGGAAAAGCAGCGGCTTTGGGGGTTTTTTTGCTATTGTGGGACTGGTAAAAATATCTGTTCTCTAAGTTATTGTATTGGTTGCTCCTGTAATATTAAACTAACCCTGGCCTAGGGAAAGCCCCTGCAGTTCTGAGACCTCCTTCATTACTATTTACCACCCCAAGGTCAATTTGTGGGAAAGGTGCCCAAAAGTTACAAATTCCGTCTGCAATCTGAAATGAGCCTTGAAAATGTA